CTGGAGAAGGATATCATGTTTGGTAGGGTGGAGGGTCAGAGAAAAAGAGGAAGACCCCCAATGAGATGGATTGGCTAAGTGGCAGAATCGATGGACTGAAGCATGGCAATAGTAGTGAGGTTGGCCCAGGATCGGGCAGTGTTTCATTCTGCTGTACATAGGGTTGCTGAGTTGGTACCGACTCTATGGCACCTAACAACAATAACAACATTAAGCAATATGTTAAGATTACAAATAGTCATGTTTGGAGATTTAAAGAACAACTTGATCAAATGTCTTCACTAAATAGACAATCTGTCAACCAGTTTTCTATATAACTTTTCAGGAGCTCTTATAGCGTAGTGGTTATGAGTCAGGCTGCCAACCTCAAGGTCAGCAGTTTGAAACTACCAGCAGTTCCACAGGAAAAAGATGAGGCGCTCTGGTCCCGTAAAGATTTACAGACTTGGAAACCCTGTGCAGGGTCATTCTGAGTCAGAACCAAATCCACGGTACTTAGTAAAAACAAAATACCACTTTTTGTTTGAATTTCTTTAATAAACTCAAAATAAATTCCTTGGCCAAAATATATTAATATTTTTGAAGGTTTTTAAAGTGTTTCTAAAATATTTTCCAGATGTTTATATTTCTTAATAGTATTAATACTCCACTCCTGTGTCAACAGGGGAGTCCTGGTATGGGGCTGTAGGTTAATGTGCCAGACTGCAAAGTCATTTGAACTGCAAGGTCAGTGGTTCAAGCTCACCAGCTGCTCCTCGGAAACCCTATACAGGGTCACTATAGGTCGGAACCAACTCGACAGCACTTAACAACAAAACATGCCAACAGGATCGTGGTGTGGCACTACAGGATAAACACTGGACTGTTAACCACAAAAGTTGGTAGTTGAAATCTACCAACAGCTACTTGGAAACCCTATATAAGGCCAATATTTTCAGGACCAAGTTGATCGTCACTTATCAATCACAACCTATGCCAACAAAGACTATCATCTGTTCTCCTTGGGTAATTTGGCCAAGTTAAAAAAAAAAGTTGTTCTTGTTGTATGCCATCAATTTAGTTCCAACTCCTATAGAGCCACTGCATTTCCTACCCACCCACCCCAAACAAAAAAGAGTATGTTTTTGAATTCTGAATTCTTCAGCAGTAAAAATTCCCCTGTTGGCATATACTTGAGCCAATGGAAGCATAAAGCAGTGACCCTGAAAATAACTCTCTCAATACTAGAAGCTAGAAGAACAATATGAAAAACGGAAAAAAGCCTGAGATTTATGTGGGACACCATGGAGAAGAATAATTTATGGGTGAGCAGAATTTCAGACCAGGAAGTGATAATAAAAAGCATGGAGAAAATCGTCAAAGAGTTGCTGAAAGAAAACTTCCCTAACATCATGAAAGATGAGAAAATAACCATTCAAAAAGCTCAACGAAGCCCAAACAGAACAGACGCTAAAAGAAAATCACCAAGACATATCATCAAACTTTCCAAAACCAAAGGCAAGGAAAGAAGCTTGAGAGCAGCTCAGGAAAGTGGAAAACCAATAGAACTACGGTCTGATTTCTCAGCAGAAACCAGGCAGGCAAGAAGGCAATGGGATGGCATATACAAAACTTGAAAGAAAAAAAACTGTCAACCAAGAACCATATACTTAGAAAAGCAGGCTCTCAAATATGACAGCAAAATTAGGACATTTGCAGATAAACTGAAATTCAAGGAATTTGTAATAACCAGACCAACTTTATATACTAACGGGTGTTCTTTAGTTAGAACCAACAACAGAAGACAACAACCTGAGATTAACATGCATGACAATACCACTCAGAATTCAATCCATATATTGTTGATGATGTGCAGGTGAGTCAGTTCTGACTCATAGTGACCCTATGCACAATAGAACAAAACACTGCCCAGTTGTGTGCCATCCTTTCATTTGTTATTATGCTTGAGCACAATGCTGCTCCCACTGTGCCAATCCATCTCATTGGGAAGCAAAATAAACCTAACAAGACTGAAAATAGGGAATCAGAGATAACAATTTATAATGGTGTCAACTGCAAAGCAAGAAGATGGAAGAGCATTGATACAGAATTTCTAAATGATTAGAGCAAAGTAAATTTAGAGATAAAATAGATTGTTTTCAACAGGGAAAAAATTAATAGATTACAGGATAATCTCAAAGAAAATGAATATACCTTTACATCAAAATAAAAAAGAGAATCAGAAAAATTTTGTGAACATTAAAACAACAGTAATAGGGAAAATGATAATGAAACCCACAAATAAAATGAACTCAGAGCAAAAACATAGGTGGAACAAAGAACTAGTAATATCACACACATACACACATACACAAAAACACAGCAAAACGACAGCAATCAATTCATGCCTATTGATAATTACACCCAATGCAAATGGATTAAACGCACTAGTCAAAAGACAGAGAGTAGCAGACTGGATACAAACTTTTGGTACATACATACAGTGGAACACTATGGAATACTGAAGAATAATGATGAATCTATGAAACAGCTCATAAGATGATGAACTTGAAAGACATGCCGCGTGAAATTAGTCAATCACAAAAAGGCAGAAACTGCATGACAGAACTGTTGTAAAATGTTACGAAAAGATTTTCTTGCTAAAATACACATTTTATAATGGCTACTGGGGGTGGGAGGGAAGGGAAAATTAGACACTGGGTAGAAGACATCAGACATATGTTAACTTGGGTGACAGGGCAGGCAATATACACGAGGGAGGGTTATGAAGGTAGTAGACACAGAGAGGAGTGCAAGAGTTAACGTGAACAGAGGTAAATACTGTTAATTGATGGTACATGGAAGGGATTGCAATCACTGTAATGAAACAAAGTGTGATTTGTTGAATGTGGGACTGATGATAAGTTCTGTAAATCTTCACTTAATTCAAAATAAAAAAAAATTATAAAGAAAGAAAAGAAAAAGAATGTCCCTTTGAGGCTCATGGGGTGAGTAAATAAAAATGTATCAAGTGAGAGGTATTTTCATCTTCTACTCTAAATAGGAGAGATTCTTCCTGTCAAGTTCGAATCCTTTAGACTGTATCATTGTTGTTTTCGGTCATAAGTGCTGTCAAGTGGACTCTAACTCTGGAACCCTGTATAGGGTTTCCGAGGAGCTGCCAACCTTGTGGTTCACAGCCCAATGCTGATCCTACAGCACCACACCAGTAGACACTGTCACGGGAACCGGAAAATGAATTTAACCTTGAAAATATTAACGGACAGTAAATGCTTACATTAGAGCAAGAAAACGTCAATACGTCATAATCACAGCAGGATTCATACACACCACACAGAATAAAAGCAGTCTCTAACAGAAATCACTTTAAAAATAATAATTACTATACTCGGATCAATGTATAAGCACAGGAGAGAAGTTGTAGTGGTTTAGGGTTGTAGGATAAGCACTGGACTGCTAACTGAAAGGTCAGCAGTTCAAAACCACCAGTCGATCTTCAAAAACCCTACACAGGGTTGTTATGAGTTGGAACTGACTTGAATGCACTTAACAACAATATACGCTGATCAATGTATAAGTACAGAAGAGCACTTAATAGTAGTAGCTTTAGAGCAAGAAGCAAGTACCTCAGAAAAGATTACAAAAGGATGAGCAAAACCACAGTGCGATGAGATCAGGATGATTTATTTAATCACAATGGTAACATAGTGATAAAATTCTCATTTTCTTAGTGAGGAGGAACTCTGGTTTGATGGCAATACTTTATTAGATATATTTTTATTTCATTATATTTACACATGAATGGGACGTGGAGGCTCTGTATGATAAGCACTGGACTGTGAACCACAAGGTCCACAGTTCAAAGCCCATTAGCTGCTCCAAGGAAAAAAAGATGAGGCTTTCTGTTCCCGCCAAGATTAAAAAAGCCCTGGAAAACCCATACAGGTTGCTATGAGTAGGAACCGACTTGATGACACTTAACAACAATACATGGATACATGGATAGTAAAATGCCTATAATTTTTCATTATTTAATGTGCTCAGGTGTCTTTAACCAATCTACTATCTTTATAAAGGCCTGAATTACAGAACCCTCCCAGATTGTTATCAATAAACTGCTAGACTTTATCTTTACACAGCTAAGAAGCCTGGTGCTTAAGGTGGGGAAAACCAGGTAAATGCCATCTTTTAAAGAAATCAGTCCCAATGAAGTTTATTTATTCTAGGTGTTTAATGTATTCATTAACAATTACATCATGTCTTTTCTAGAGTAATTTTTAAGCAGAATAATATTATCAGTGATTGGTATAAACTGCTTTTATTACGACTTTGCACTAATCGTTATTTCTTTAAAAACATTTCAAAACATTGCCCTTTTCTGATGTAAAGAACTACCTACCTTTTTGAATTTCTTGAAATTCTTTAGTGGAGCATAATCATTACTTATAGTGGGTGGATTTCTGGAGGTGGAGTTACTAACCACCAGTGACCGAAATTCAGTCTGTATCACCTTCCTTGGAAGCATCTCACCATCAACCTGAAGTTCATCATTGTTCTTAAATGGGGGTGAAGATGAAGAAACAAGAAAGAAAAAATATACAAGGAAAATTACTTGTGATTTAGAGATCTAGGGAAAAAATTTCAACCACCTAACAACAGTTTTGTTTGTTTGTTTGTTTTTTTAAATGCTTTATTTCTGCTCTCTAAACTTCCTATTCGGAAGCAAATCATTTTTTTCTAAACCAGAAAATTATTTATTCAAATGTCCTCTAATTTAGGAATTTTTAAAAACAAACTCATCTATAATTGTTTTTGTTGTTGTTGTGAAGTGCCATCGAGTTGATTCCGACCCATAGCAACCCTGTATAGGGTTTCTGAGGAGCAGCTGGTGACCTTGAACTGCCAACCTTGCAGTTCAAATGGCTTTGTAGCCTGGCGCATTAACCCACAGCACCACACCAGGACTCATCTATAATAGAAGGCTGAAAATCATACAGTATTTTTAGTTTAATAGAATATCTTAATATCAATTTACGTTTTTGAATATATTTGATACAAAAAATCTTAGCATTGTCTGCTTCTCATTAAAAATGTACACCAAAACCATTGACCATTTTGTTCTGAAAGATTTCATAACTAAGTTTTACTGGATTTTCAATATTGTATTACTTCAAAAAACCAATCAATCATTAACTTTGGACAAACTATCTCTTCAACTGACAAGCAACTTTCTTATTTCAGAAGATTTATTTGATTTATATTAAATCAGCCTAAAGATTACTTTCTGTTATCATTCAATTACTAAATGAGATCCTTAGCTTTATGCCATTTCCTATTAACCATCTAAACTACTCCATGCTAATCATCTTAGTTGTTTTCACCACGAAACCATCTAATACACATGGAAGTTGCTAACAAGTCTAAGATAAATGAAGTCACGGAGAAGAGAAAAGAAAGCAAAAGTCAAAAGAAAAGGTTGATCTAATAGTGAAAGGATGTAACTACAATCTAACAATACAAGAGTCTAGTGCTTGTGCATTGTTTATACAGATTTCATATCTACTACTCTATGTGACAGCAAAACTCTGGTGGGAAAATACCAACCTCACTTCGTAAAGAGATGACCTGATGTTCATAAATGTGAAGATGATTGGTTCAAAGCCATGTATCTATAGACTAGCAGAGCAAGGACTTATACCAGACTTCTCTCCAGACCCTTTTTACTACATCATGTTATAATATCTATTTCCCGAGGAGATACAATCGTAAAATAGAACAAAATCATAGAAAAAGAAACAGCTAATTAGAATGTAAATCTGTGGCACTGTAGGATCAGCACTGGACTGCTAACCAAAAGGTGAGCAGTTCACAGCCACCAGCAGCTCCTTGGAAACCCTATATATGACTGTCGTGAGTCGGAACTGACTTGATGGCACTAACAACAACATCCACAGATAGAAATTGATGAGATCATAATCAAATCTTTATAAAAATTACATAATAAAATAACAACTTCCTTACAGACATTTCCTCTTTAGTTGACAACACGGACTCTTCCTTGGTCTCACACTTCTTCCTGATTTCATTCTCTTGCTAAAGAAATGAAAAATATTTGTTCTTTAAAGTATAAAATGATACCTTTCAGAATACCTGACATACTTATCATCTTTGACCTAGTGATTCCACTTTCAAACATCTTTCCTTAAATAAATTGACAGCAGTGAGAATTAAAATGTATGTAGAAAGACACATTTCAGGATGAGTAATATCAACAAACTGTTCTATAAACAATCTAAGTTCTATAAGCAACATATTTGAAGAATTTGTTGTTATTGTTATGTGCCGTGGAGTCGGTTCTGACTCATAGCAACCCTGTACAGGGTTTCGAGGTGCTAAATCTTTACAGGAGCAGAAAGCCTCATCTTTCTCCTGTGGAACAGCTGGTAGTTTCGAACTGCTGACTCTGAGGTAGGCAGCCCGATTCGTAACCACTATGCTAAAAATTGTCATAATACTATAAGCAAAAAAATTTTTCCAGATTGAATTCAGGTGATTACAGGTTTGAATAATATGGTTTAAAAAAGAACATAACAAGCTACAGACAGTTTGAAAAACTGAAAATAAGACTCAGGCACAGTTGTAATTTACCACACACGATAAACTAATAGAAGTATCCAGCCAATACTTTTCCAATGGTTTTTTAAAAATGTTGCAGCCTAACAGTGAATCTTATAGACATGCTTTATAATTAGACTCAAAAAAATAGAAAAATGAGTCTATCATGAACACATTTTAAAGACTGTCTTTCTACAACAAAGAAATTCAGCACAGACTAGAAGTATCACATTTTTGCTTTCTTAAATTTACAAAAAAGAATTGTAAATAAAAAGATATGTAATTTTTTTTGGTAACATCTTTTGTAGTTAGAAAAACTAAGTGCAATTCCTTTAATCTGTAAGTATCCACCAGGAACGCCATACAAAAAAATTCTTAAAATGATAAAAATAACCTTGTATCATGTGAATAAGTTAACTAGATTCTACCAATGTCCACTTCCTGGTTGTGATATGGTACTGTAGTTCCATAAGAAGTTACAACTGGGGAAAATTGGGTGACAGGTGTATGGTATATGGGACCTCTCCATATAATTTCTTACAATTACATTTAATCAACAGTTACCTCAAAAGAAAGAGTTACAAAGATATAACCAACATTTAAAGTAAACATATTTTTGTAACTAGTTTTCTTTCTAAAAACACAAAGCTGGAATACAATGATTTAAACTTTATTATACCGAACAGTGTATCACAAAGTTGCTAAGAGTCTAGTATAATCTATTTATTTTGTATTGCAATTTTTATTTAGAATATCATGAATGCTGCAATAATAAAATGATAAAGTAACTTATGCTATAGAATCACAGAATAAAATAATTATATTTGCTTATGTGATTATAAGCACATAAACAAAGCTTGGACATTAAGTGAATGGTCCTTTTTGGTCCATGAAAGACTGTTTAATAGCTCCCATGTCACTGGTATATGATGCTCAAATCTCATCTTTCCCAGTCTGGGAAACCAAATGCTTGAGTGACACGAGTTCTGGGAGACTGTGTTATGAAAATTGGGATTTTTAGTACCAGTTGTGGTGCTGCAGGATAATGCACTGGATCACAAGGTCAGTTTGAATCGCAAGGTGGCAGTTCAAACCCACCAGCCGCTCCTCAGAAATCCGGTACAGGATTGCTATGAGTTGGAACCAACATCAGTGTCAGATTCTGATATAATACTTCAGCCTAAACTAGCTGAATGAGAACAATCATATATAAAGTTTATTTCATTTCTTTTATGCTGTTGAAGTATCACTGTATTTTACCTCATTGAACAACAAATTCTTATACTTGATAATGGTTTTTGAAGATACTCATTTTTTCAAGAATTCATAACAAATGATCATACCGTCAATATAAAATCTAAACTAACATTCTAGGTTTTTTATTTGCAAGAATTCTCATTAAAATTGTCACTTACAGATATGTGGTTACTTTCTGGTATTGTTTCATCATTAAAAATGCCATTTGATTCTACAGTCAACCTTGGTTTTTTTCTACTGTTGACATCATCCTCTTGTTTTTTAACTCTCCTTTCACTTTCCAGCTCTGGTTTTGTGTCCTTGAGTAATTGTTCTAATACTTCATCTTCTATGGCCAAATCATCAATTTGTTTTCTTTTTTTTGATATTATTTTTTCTGCATGAGGAGATTTATTGGTGGGATTTTTCACATTCGATTTTACATCTGTATCTGTAAATAGATCATCTGATTTTCCGTCCACAGGCTCACTCTGAGATGGATGCTGTTCCTTATTTTTCCATATTGAGAAGGTAGTTGGTTGTGTTTGTTCCAAAAGAGAACAAGACATTTCTATTCTTGCTGATTTGGATGAAGACATTTCTTGATTTTCTTCATCCCTTTCCCTTATAATTTGAAAAAGGAGAGAAGAAGACAAAAACAGAAAATGAACCCAACTATGTAATTTTTCAGTTTAGCAATAGTTGTCCCTTTTTCCTGCCTCTCATATAATTCACATGTCCTCTTGATTTGATTAATAAACAATATCACTGCAAACCAGCAAATACACAATTTAAAAGTACACCATTCAACTACATTCTACTGTTATGATAGGACTGATGAGACCTGTACCTGGAGCAATATGGAGATCCCTGTTTCCTCTGCTGAAGCAGCATTAGTTGACAAACCAATGTGGAAGAAATGGAAGAAAATATAAAAAACAAAAGACCTGCTGCTATCACACACCAGCTACCTTATAATGTAAGGAACTGGTAGGCAAGGAACACTTCCCCTGGGAACAGAACCTGATGGGTTAATGAGAGCTGGATTCAGGATAACCAATCAGTGGCTAGATCCAGAATACGATAGAGATTATATACTGCACATACCATGAATATCTGATTAAGCCACAGTATTTCCAGTTGGCTGACATGCATAAGAAATTTGGATGATGAAAAAGGAAGACCATAGAAGAATTGGTACTTTGGAATTATGGTGTGGAAGAAGAATATTGAGAGTAATATGGACTATCAGAAGAACAAACAAATATTTCTTGGGAGAAATGCAGTCAGAAAGCTCCTTATAAACAAGGATGGTGAGACTTTGTCTCTTGTACCTTGGACATATTATCAGAAGGGATCAGTCCACAAAGGACATCATGCTTGGAAAAGTGGAGTGTCAGCAAAAAGAGGAAGATCCAAACTGGATGCACTGACACAGTGACAATAACAACTGGGTCAGACATAATAACAACTGTGAGGATGTCTCAGGACTGAACAGTGTTTCCTTCTGTTGTGCAGAGGATCACTATGAGTCAGAACCAACTCGGCAGCACCTAACTAAATATGACCAAGAGTTTTTCTGTAAAATGCTCATTTTCACAAACTGTATTAAGTACTAAGAGGACACAAAGCCTCCGTTCTCAGAATTACTAGATTCATGGTGATATTTTAATAGTAAGTGCTTAGCTGCTACCAAAAGGCTGGCAGTTTGAATTTACCCAGCAGCTCAGCAGAACAAAGACCAGGCAATCTGTTCCCAGAAATATTATAGCCCTCATGTCGGTTTCAAATCACAGTGACCCTGTATAGGGTTTCTGAGGAGAGGTTGGTGGATTTGAACCACTGACCTTTCAGTTAGCAGACCAGTGTTTATCCTACAGTGCCATACCATGACTCAAAACAACAACAACAAAATAAAACAAAAAAACCAAACAAAAACATACAGAGCAGTTGTATTCAAGCACAGCATTAGTGTAAGTCACAACAGACTCCCTGACACCTGACAACAATCTAATGTCAGGGTACAAGATGGACTGATTTAGACCAATAAAGAGGTTTTGTGATCACCTAGATCAGAGTTTGAACGAGGAAAAAGACATAGGTGGAACTGACATGACACGGAAAGTAAGAATCAACACCATTAGTTTGGGGAAACAGAGGAGAAAGATTATAAGGTGAACCACTAGCAAACAAACAAAACCCCAAAGCATTTAATAAGAGGGCAGAAAAAGTTTTAGGCATATTATTTGGGAAAATAGCAGGGAATTCCTAGGAAAAGTAGAAGTAAAGCTTAAAGGAGAAGCTACGGTTACACACATTGCTAATTTGTAATACAGTCATGAAAGCTTCAAGGAAGAGGACGTAAGGTATAAAGAGCAGCACAGGAAGAGGAGTCCTCAAAGGGGACCAAGAGGAGCGTAAGAGAGACAGAGGAAGCAGTACCAGACACTACCACCACAAAAACCAAGAAAGGAGACTACAAGGGGGAGAAAGGCCAGGAGCTAAATGTTACCAAAAGGTCAGGAGGATCAGAAATTTTAATTTCAGTGATGTCACTCAAGAAGAAATCATCTGGTTAAGATATACTTCATACAGAAATGGAAACATAACCACAGCCTCTTTTGTGAGAAGTTTAACAGGAACTGTAGTAAAGAAAGTAAGAAAGCAGTAACTAAAGAAGAAACCAGGTCAAGGAAACATTTTACAAAATAAAGGTGAGACAGAGCATTTGAAGACAGAAGAAAAGGATCAAAAAGATAATAAAAATGACAGAAACGGAAAAAGTAATTGATGGAACATGATCCTAGAGGATGTGAGTGAGAAGATCAAGGGGAAAGGCTTGTCTAAGCCATTTCAGAACTCAGGTGTGGCAAAGTGCTTCTTCAATAAAAGGAGAAACAGAAGAGAAGCACAGCATATGAAACAACAGACAAGCCAAGATGTAGAGAAAGGAAGAGGAAGGAGAATTGATGTTATGACTGTAGTTGTTGTTGCTAAGTGCTGCTGAGTCAGTTCTAACTCATAACAACCTTGTACAGGGTTCCCAAGGAAGGCTGGTGGGTTTGAACCACCAATCTTGCGGTTAACAGTCCAGTGCTTATTCTACAGCACCACACCAGGACTCCCGTGACTGTAGACAGGAAGCAATTAGGATATTGATTAAGAGGGAATGAAATCAAAAGGCCACAGGTTTCCCCAGTCTGCACACACACGAAAGGCACTATCATTCCACAATAATACACTAACAGTTTTTAGATACAGGAGTAGAATTATTGAACGTTTACCTCTTTTGGGCTGATGGCTGAAAGTAGTTTTTGATGGAGTTTGTCTGCTGGTGCTGAGAAGCCCGATCTTTATGTTTATTTACACCTGGAAATTTAGTTGGTGAAAGCTGATAGTTTGGTAGTTTCGTACTAAGCAGAGAATGTAAGACTAGGTTATTATCACTACAACTTGTTTTGGGAGGTTCCTTTATAGTAGATGTTTCCTGTGAAAGCATTCTGAATTTTTGTTCCCTTCTGGAGATTTGGATTTCTTTTGGCCTTTCACTGAAATCCATACTGTAGCAAAAGAAAAAAATGTCAGGTAAACAATCAAAGTTAACAGCAGTTTTCATCTAGAAACAAACTGCTTTAAACAGTTCCAATGACCCAGGGCTTTACAAGATATTTACCTTTAGATAATAATTCACTGAATATATTTCACCATTGCAAAAAAGGTTGCTGCTTTGTCCTCCAAGCTCCCTGAAGGATGGCACTTTGCTCTTCATATACCCTACTGCACATATTCCCAGGCATGCTCTCACCACACACGTAGAATAACAGCTTAGTATCCTATTGTGGGAGTCCTGGTGTGGTGCTGTGGGTTAATGCGCCAGACTGCAAAGCCATTTGAACTATAAGGTCAGTGGTTCAAGCTCACCAGCTACTCCTCAGAAACCCTATACAGGGTCGCCATGGGTTGGAATAGACTGGATGGTACTTAACAACAACAACAACAACATCCTATTATGACACCATTATCACCAATTTTGTCCAATTAAACTTGGTAATAATCCTAGGTAAGTTTTGTTCTGTTGAAATTTAAAGCATTGTAGCTAAAAAAAATATAAAAATCCATAGGAAAAAAATGAAAGAGAATCAGAAAAACAACAATCTCCTATCCTTCTAGTACCATATATAATGGAGTATTTAAGCTCACTTTGCATATTTTAGATGGTTCTACCCCATCCAGATGGCAGTCTCTAAAACAGAATACGACTATGGCAGTGGTGGCTGTCTACCGCCAAGTTGGTTCTGACTCATAGCAACCCAGGATAGGATTTCTGAGGCTGTAAATCTTTGCAGGAGCAGAAAGCCTTATCTTTTTTTCTGAGGAGGGGCTGGTGGATTCGAACTGCTGACCATGCCTTTATCAGCCCAATGTGTAATCCACTATGTCACCAAGACTCCTTAGAATAAAATGTTAGACTACCATAAATATTTCAAACACAAAATACATAGTTCAACAACCCATGGTTGAAAAGATATTACCTTTGATTCTTATTTCACACACACAAAAAAAACTAGGAGTAAAAGTGTTGTTCAAGTGACTTTGAAAAGTTTCTCTTTTAAAAGTTAAATCTCAATATACAATGTATGTAAACTAAAAATTAAGATAAATATGGTCTAATATAGCAATATCACTGGTATCCTTCAATACGAATCCCCTCATTATATAATATTTAAAATATAATGGTCTCAAGTGAAAGATACCAGAGAATATGAAAGAGCTACCACTGTTTTCCTCCTAAAGAATTCCGTCTTTCAGATAGAGACCCATTGAAAATCTACCTTTACAATCAAATACCATTTACTTAGATGTCCAGGTAGACACAGATAAAGTAGCTCCAAAATTATAATATTCAAAAAAAGTCAACATCATATAACACAAATTTATTTCAGATACATTTCACCAGTCACATAGTAGTAACATTTTAAAGTTTTTAATGGCATTTGTATGGAATACTAATTATAAAAAAATGAATAAATAAAAAACACCCATTGTATCCTGAGATAGGGGTTGGCAAACCATGGCCTGCAGGTCAAATCCAGTCAATGAATGACCTGTATTTGTAAATAAAGTTTTATTAGGATACAGTCGCATATTGGAGCTCTGGTAGCGTAGTGGTTATGAATCGGGCTGTGAACCTTAAGGTCAGCGGTTTGAAACTACCAGCTGCTCCGCGGGAGAAAGATGAGGCTTTCTACTCCCGTAAAGATTTACACCCTCGGAAACCCTGTACAGGGTCGCTATGGGTCGGAACCGACTCGATGGCACTTAACAACAACAACAACAACAGCTGTTTTTATGCTACGATGGCAGAGCTGAGTAGGTGCAACAGAGACCAACAGCCTGGAAGGCTGAAAAAATTTACTCTCTGGCCCATTACAGATATAATTTGTCGACCTCTGTTCTAAGACATTATTTTCCCTGACATCCTACTCTTTTATGCTGTGTTTCCCAAGAGAGGTGCTAATAAAGACACTGCCTTTATTTCCTGCATATCCTATTAATTTATTGATAAACTACTAACAATAAGTTTATTATCAAAGATATTTTACCAGGTATCGGCTTGTTCTGATTCTGTGTCAGCAACACATGTGGTAGTATTCACAGGGACCCTCGGCATTAGTTTTCCATTCAATGACAAGCCTTGGGAAAGGCTTGGTCCAGGAGTTGTTGGCTTTAATCCTATAAACCACACAACGGAAAAGAATCAAACTGCTAATACATGATGGACATATGGTCACTTAAAATGTCTAGACTGCATCATGTTGAGGATATTGATGGGGTAAGATCATATATGCTTGTCTCTGGTTAGTGGAGTCAACAAATGCTTAATGAAATAGCCTTAGTGAACTGTTTCTTGTCATCTATGACAGTCCTATTTAAACCAAATAATTTTAAAGTAACCTTGACTCTTTTGTGATAAAAATACTAATGTAAATAAAAATAAAATTATGCTTTCAGCAGACTAAACAGAATTTTTCCCCATGCATGTTATCTTTATATTATCATCTATGCGAATAAGAATCAATGTGAATTTTATATTTAGAAGGAATATGCCATTTAAATGAAGACACTTAAAAGTTTTAGATATACAATTTAGGCTAATCCAGAAAACCATACTGATTACCTCATCATTTTACTTAATTCAAGTATCATCTTAGTTCTACTGTCAGTCTTCTGATACTTGAACCTCTGCCACTGAATTAAGTATCCCTCATTGCTGCTCCCACACCTCTCTGTGCTAGACTCTATGAACACATACATCCATACCAAAATCCCTAGTAGAGTTATTTAACTTCTCTCTGCTTTACATTCTTTATCTATAATATGGAGGTGATTATAGTACCTTCCTTGCAGGATGGCTTTGAGGGCAAAATGAATTAATATATGGATGGTGCGTGTGTTCATCTGTGTTAGCTGCCAATAAGTTGGCCCCCGACAAATGGCAACTTCATTTGCTACAGATTTTTTTGGCTGCCATCTCTACTGAAACAAAACAGTTCACCAGGATTTTCTTCCTCAGAGCTGCTGTGTGGGTTTGCTTTTAAACATTGATTTTTTTTTTTAATAACCTTTTATTGCGAATTGATTGAAGGTTTACAAAGCAAATCATCAGTTTTATGTTCAAATGATACACTTTTTCCATCTCGAATGCAATCCTCTCAATGAAACATCACTTATTCTATTCCTCCTTGTGTTTTGTTTCCATTCCCCCTTCTTTCTCAACCCTTCTGAATTTTGTCCTTAGGTAAATGTTTTTCTTCTTCTCTTGAAAACGGCTGACCCATTCTAGGGTGTGCATACCTCATTAGTGTTGTTGTCCCCCTTATATACTGATCTATTGCTTGGATGAAAACTGAGCCAGGGGGTGACCTGAAGAGTGACCTGAAGGGTGAACAAAGGCCATAGTCTCAGGATTCCACCAGTCTTAGCCAACCAGTAGGCCTGGGTTTTTTTTTTTTGGTTTTTTTTTATGATTTTGAGTTTTGTTCCATATTTTGTCCCACTTTCTCCAGGACCTTCCAACATGATCTCTGAGAGCAGTTGGAAGTGGCAGCCAGGCACCATCTAGTTCTTTAGGTCTCAGTGTCGTCAAGACTAATGGTCACATGTTCCATTAGTCTACTGAACTACTAATTGTCTCCAAACATCTTCAATGTTCACTCTTCTTTCCTCTGAACAAGGAGAGACCAATAGTTATCCCTTAGATGGTTGTTCATGAATTTTTAACATCCCAGTCACTACCCACCAATATAGGATGTAGAACATTGTCTTTGTGGACTGTGCTATGCTAATTGACAATGGTGTCCTAGAGACTATGGTCCTGAGCCCCCAGGTCCAGTAAATTATTCCCTAAAGGTGTTTGGTAATGTCTAAGAAGTTTTCATATTGCCCCTATATACTCCACCACATTCATGGATATGTTTGCAGCAATGGCAAATACTCATGTACAAACATCCTCTGTCAAACCTTTATGTATTTCTGGACATACTCCCACTCTCCCTCCATACCTGTTCAGCCTGGGTCTCTGTCTATGTATTTGTTATTTCAGGATTATGTACATAACAGTATTTACCTCTGTTTTAACTTTGGCACTCTAATCCATGTTTAACCCCTGCCTTCATGCTGTGTTTGAACCACCAACCTTTGGGTTAGTAGCCAAATGCAAACAGCTTATACCACCCACAGCACTTCGAAGCTTGCTACATAGTACACACTATGCAAGTGTTAGTTGCTACCATTATCATCACTGATGCTATCTTGTTGTTGTTAAGACCGTGCAAATTTATAATGGGTAGTGGGAGAGCAGTTTCTCCAATATTGCCCCTGTTGGTGTCCATGCTGTAGTGATCTCTCTAAGGCTGCAGAGTTGGTTCTTAGCTTTCGTTAGTAATAGATTTCGGAAGAATATTTATTGTATAACAATCCCACCAAAATAAGTTATCTGGCTACTTATGAAACCTCATAAACACTGAACTTTTCTATGTTTGAATGTTTTCTATAACTAGATACAAACATACTAGTGTATTCAGTTGGAAAGGATTGATATTCGGTGAATAAGTTTGCTTATTCAAATCACATAACATTAGGATGCACATTTTTTAACACATGCCTTTCCTTCTATATCTGTTTCCAGTCATCACTACATAGTTCTCAACTTTATACATATATAAGCAATCTGTACTTCAGTATAATCATATAATAATATCTTGGGCTTAAGAGTCTGCTAGAATCAATTGCATGCAATGCGATCTTGGGCAAATATTCTAACCTTTCTGTAACTCAGTTCCCTGATCTATAACATGCAGATGATGTCATTATCACAAAGAAATGTTTTCCAGATTGAACTTTGTTGATTTCTGTAAGGAATCTACTCTAGTCCCACCACACTCAAGAGACTCTAGTTTAATCAATATTACAAATAATTATTACTAATGCTTTATGCACTTAACCAGTCCCTGATGAACCAGTCCTTTCAAAGCTAGTTTAACACATTTAACATTTAACCAGGGCTGCAGAGTATATAGCCACTCAGCCAGTGCAGTTCATGGGTGCCTTTCAAAGGATGACAACGTGAATGATAGCTCTTGGAGTGTACATGCACTGGTCCTGTTCTAATCTGTCTCTCTTAACAAAATACAGTAAGTGCTAACAAAATCACTAGAGAAAGAAGCCAGGAGGCAAATAAATGCATACGGGAACAAAGACTGAATGCTTTGACAGCTAGGCAAAGGAGAAAAGTTACTATGGAGAATAAATATAAAAATGATGAAGGTGAAAAAGGAGGAAGATGAAAATTTTTAAAAAATCTTTATGATGACAGCACCAGTTTATGTTCAAGAAAGTTACAGGAATCTAACTGACTAAAATGTAATAGTAACTGCCTCTAAGTACACTGGCTTTCATGGCCATCAACTCTGAAATCATTATAATATGCAGTCTGCATTTCAGTAAGTGGTCCCCACTATCTCCCCGTTACTCCAGGCCAATCACTATACTAAATAATTGATTCTGATTCCTCCAGAGCCAAGTTCTGCTGGGTCTAACTCTAAAATAAATTCTGAATCTGTTCCTTTTTCTGCACTCTACCACTATCACCCTGGGTGGTCCAAGACACTAGGCTCACTGGTATCCCTACCTCCAACTGGACTCTTGCATGTGACTGCTGACCTAAAGGTTGGCAGCCGAAATCTGTGCAGCTATAGAGTAGAAGAAAAGGATTGGTAATCAGCTTCCATAAAAATGACAGCCAAGAAAACCCTATGGAACAGCTGTGTTCTGTAACAAATAGGGTTACCTTGATCAAAATCAACCTGAGAGCAGCTAACAACATTGGAGCCTATTTTCCACACAAAAGCCATGGTGATCTATTCATTCTACCACCCAGATCCTCAAATGGTTTCCTTATTCTGGTCATTCAGGACATGAGACTCAAGGGCCACACCCTCAGTAAGACCTTCTCCAACCACCCTAGTCACTAATATTTTATCTTTCTCTTCGTAATTGCTCCTACCAGAAATTACCATGTGTGTTTGTTTATTGTATGAATCCTGACCTCTAGAATACAAGCTCACAATAAGGACCTTGTTAATTTGGTTAGCACTGTATCTCCAACACTAAGCATAGTGCCTGATACATAGAAGCCACAGATAATATATCAATGGATAACAGATACGTTTCAAAAGACAGGGAATATGGATAATCCCGGGAAGAGTAATATGCTTAATATAATTTAAATAATTCACATAACAAAGTTACCAAAGAATTAAGTGTTTTAATTACCTGTACTGGGCTGTCCCTGAGGATCACAGTAATGCTCTGTAGTCATGAAAACAACTGCCAATCCAATTTCAGATTCAGGAATAGGTCTAAGACCCTGCCTATTAGAATAAAACAGTTTAAGTGTAACAGTATATTAAAACCAACAAATAACTATTAAGATGTTGTTAAGCTGTATCAACCTTTTTTGGCCTCTTAAACAGGTGTGGTTCTGTGGATTAGTGTGCCATAGACTGCAAAGCCATCTGAACTGCAAGGTAGGTGATTGAAGCTTACCAGCTGCTCCTTGGAAACCCTATATAGGGTTGTTATGGGTCAGAATTGATGTGATAGCACTTAACAAAAACAGGTTGACAATTTTATGGATGAAGAGAATTTTATCTACAGGTGGATAGTTTGTATTTTAAGTGACAGCCTTTCTAAAACTATAAAACTACCTTTCAACCTCCCCCCACCCCCCGCCAAACACACACAAATAGACCAGGGACAAAGCCTATAGGACTAAATGTCAACTCATGATTCAGGCATCAATCTCTGAGCAACCTTTCTTGGTTGCACTCTAGTTGCCTTCTTACCACAGGGCCTTTAAACATGCTGCAAGACAGTGTAAAGTAATGGTGAAGAGCATGGAATCTGGAACTTGAATGCCTGGGTTCATATCTTGGCTTCTCTTCTCATTATCTGTTCTACTGAAACTCCTTTCTGTTAAAGGTCCCTCATCAGTACAATGGCTGTGTGAGGATTACAAGTCTTAATACGCTTGTTGTTGTTAAGTACCATGGAGTCGGTTCTGACTCACAGTGACCCTGCACAGGGTTTCCAAGGCTGTAAATCTTTATGGAAGCAGAAAGCCTCAGCTTTCTCCCATGGAACAACTGGTAGTTTCGAACTGCCGACCTTGGGTTAGCAGCCCAATTTGTAACCACTACGCTACCAGAGCTCCTTCTTAATACACTAGAGGGCTTCAAAAAGTTCATGTAAAACTGCAATTAAAAGATAATGGATTTTTTTCCCAAGAATTTTTGAATACAGGTTTTAGAACAATATCTGTTATAGAGTATTATCTGTTGATGTTGTTAAGTGCCATCGAGTCAGTTCCAACTCATCACAACCCTGTATAGGGTTTCCAAGGAGTGGCTGGTGAGCTTGAATCGCTGACCTTGTGGTTCAAACTGATTTTGCAGTCCAGTGCATTATCCCACAGCACCACACCAGGATCTAGCTAAAGTATTGTTGCAGTTGTACTGCCTGACAAATCCTTTTTCTGAGTCTTGGCTCTTTTACGTCATATGTAAAATATTACCTCACAGAGGCCTTCTCTATTTACAATAAGCTTCTCTTCTCTGTCCTATTACTTGATTTCCTTTAAACACATTTGTACTTATCTGTTTACTTGTATTTTATTGGCTAGTTAATAAGCTCCTATATGTAAACAACCATGGCTCTCTTTTCTACCACTGTACCCCCAGGGCCTAAAGCCATAGGAAATATTTGAAGTCATGGCAAGATTGTATTTTGGTGTACACAACTATCTTTTTGGCAGCATGCAATAAACCTCATTTAAATAAAATATTCATGGGATAGATGACTGAAATTTTACTTTGCATTTCAGCAAACGCATATGAAAAAAGAAATCAACATGGTCGTATATATACCTAGGACAGGAAAGAGACACCTTTGGTGAAAAACTGCATATAAATACCTCTGTTGTTACATGTTACAGAGTCGTTTTCAACTCATAATGAGCCTGTATTGAGTTTCCAAGGAGCAACTGGTGATTTGAACAGGTAACCTTGCAGTTAGCAGTCCAGTGTTTATCCTACAGTGCTACACAAGGCTCTCAGGACTTTTGAACAGGTGTAATGCAGCACACTCTGAAACCAAACTCCCTCTTGAAAATTTGTAAGCCATTCCCTTCGTGTCTTTATAGCACCCCCATTTTAGGTAGCCAATGTGTAAGTTGCCCGTCCCTATCACCCCTGTGTACAGAGGGAAAGGATGAAGACTCCTCCCCTCTAAATCGGTATTTTGAGCTACTATATCCATAAGTATGGGTCAAGTTCATCAAATTGTAGCAATTGACACTTGTTTCCTTTACCAAAATTTATCATCTTCTAATCGAGTTGTGATCATCAAGCCATCGAAGCTGGGTCAAATGGGTACTATCTACAAGTTTGGGTGTTCTTGTGCATCTCCCCTCACTTCATATCATCTGCACGCTTCACTTTCAGCCCTAGCCCTCTGTCCATAGGCTCAGGAGTCCTCAGGTCTCACCATACTTCGGACCAACTAGCCCTTCCTCTTCTCTCTCTCATTTCCACGTTGACGGGGGTCCATGGAACATGGTTGAATTCAGCCCATTATCTTCATTGATGCCTTACCATTGACTCTTGATCTTATGCTACTTCTTGAAATGACTGAATATCAACCATTTCTTTTTGTTAATGGTAACTTTGTGTTTTCCTTCCATCTTTTTTTGGTGTTTTCTGAGTCAATCAGTATTTTGCCCACAGAATCCTTTAATACTACAAGGCGAGGCTTGAAGTTTTTTCTTCAGTTCTATCAGCTTGAGAAATGCTGAGCAAGTTCTTCCCTTTTGGTTTTCTAACTCCAAGTCATTGCACATTTCATTATAGTAAGTACTTGATCTTGGTTTCTCATGTTGCCCTTTGAAATTTTTTGTTCAGCTCTTTTACCTCCTCATTTGTCCCATTTGCTTTAGCATCTTTATACTGGAGAGTAAGTTTCAGAGTCTCTTCTGACATCTGTTTTGGTCTTTTTTCTTCCTTCTTGCCTTTTTTAACTTTCTACCTATATGATGTTCTTGATATCTTCCCATAACTCTTCTGGTTTTTGGTCATTAGTGTCTAATACATTACATCTTTTCTTGAAATGATCTCTAAATTCATGTGTGATATGTTCAATGTCATATTTTGGTTCTTGTAGACTTGTTCAATTTCCTTCAGCTTCAGTCTGAACTTGCATATAAGCAACTCTTAGTCTTCTACAGTCTGTTCCTGGCCTTGTTTTGGCTGATGATATGGAACTTTTCCACCATGTCGTCTCATAAATGTACTCAATTTGATTTTTGTATATTCCATCTAATGAAGGCCATGCTGTTGAAAAATGGTATTTGCAATAAACAAGTCATTGGTGTTGCAAAATTCTATCATGGGATCTCCAGCATTGTTTCCATCTCCAAGGTCACATTTTCCAACTACTGATCATTCCTCTTTGTTTCCAACCTTTGCATTCCAATCACCAGTAATTATCAATACCTCTTGATTGTATATTTGATCAATTTCATACTGAACAAGTTGGCAGCAATCTTTGATTTCACCAGCACTGGCTTTAAAAGTTGGTGCAAAAATTTGAAAAATAGTTGTTTTAATTGTTCATTGTAGGTGTACAGATATTATCCTATCACACACAGCATTATATTTCAAGGTAGATGTAAAAATGTTCTTTCAGTGATAAATATGACACTATTCCTCTTCGATTTGTTATTCCTAGCATCGTAAACCATGCGATTGTCAGATTCAAAACAGCTAACACTATCCACTGCAGCTCACTAATGCCTAGGATATTGATGTTTATGCATTCCATTTCATTTTTGACAACTTTCAATTTTCCTAGATTTATACTTCATATATTCATTCCATGTACTGATATTTATAGCTGTTTCTCCTTATTTTGAGCTATGCCCCATCAGCAAATGTTATGTCCTGAAAGCTCAACTCTACTTTGAGGAAGCAGCTCTTCCCGTCATATTTTGAGTTCCTTTCAA